TGGTTTGTAAGTAACGTCCACCAACCATCGGAACCGCAGAGAAACACCAGAGTGGGACCGGGGAAACAGGAGGCCTTCCTAGATATCTGTAGCATGAAGTTTAAAACTGCTTTAAAGTTGATAGGGCTGCAAGAGCCACCACCTTGCAGGGCTGTCACTGGCCAAGTCTGGTCACTGAGGCATCAGGATGAGCAGCGACAGGCCTGGACCACACACACTAAGAGGTTTGATACGTCCATTTTACATGAAGATAAAACATGAATATGGGAGTTCAATTAAAATTGTTTAAAGTGGGGGAGAGGGCCGGCGCTGTGGCATAGCGGGTAAGGCTGCTACCTGCAGTGCTGGCATCCATATGGGCGCCGGTTCAAGTCCTGGCTGCTCCACTTCAATGCAGCTCTCTACTATGGCCTAGGAAAGCCCAAGTCCTTGGGCTCCTGCACCCTCATGGGAGACCTAGAAGAAACTGCTGGCTTCAGATTGGCACAGCTCCGGCAGCTGCAGCCAACTGGGGAGTGAACCAGTGGACAGAAGACCCCTCTCTCTCCCCCTGCCTCTAACTCTGCCTTTCAAATAAATAAATGAATCTTAAAAAAAAAATAAAGTAGGGGAGAGAATATAATCTCTTATGGAGGAAAGTCAAATGACAATAGAAGGTACATGGAATATTAGGGGAAAAAAAATCACTGTTTTATGCCCACCATGGTAGTAATTCAGGTAGAAGCTCAATGGACACTAAACCTGAGAAAAAGGAGTCACATGGTCCCCCTTACTGCTCGAGGCGGTCACCATGACAAGGGAGAAATCTGACAAACGCCACCTTAACCAAGTTATCAAATCTAACATCACCAATTCAGGGATTTGCCAGTATCACTTGTGTTCCCCAATGTGAGGCACCAAGGACACATTTGTGTTGTATTTCTGCCAAAAGGGATTAATCCAGGGCTGGTGCTGTGGCACAGCGGGTTAACGCCCTGGCCTGCAGTGCCTTCATCCCATATGGGCACCGGTTCACGACCCAGCTGCTTCTCTCCTCATCCAGCTCTCTATGGCCTGGGAAAGCAGTAGAAGATGGCCCAAGTCCTTGGTTCCCTGTACCCATGTGGGAGACCCAGAAGAAGCTCCTGGCTCCTGGCTTTGGATCAGTGAAGCTCTGGCCGTTGCAGCCAATTGAGGAGTGAACCAGTGGATGGAAGACCACTGCCTCTCCTTCCCTCTCTGTGTAACTCTAACTTTCAAATAAATAAATAAATCTTAAAAAAATTAAAAGGGGATTAATCCAACTCTAGCTATAAAGAAACCATTTTCCTGAGTCCGAATTGATGTGTGCCTGCACGTGCAGTCACATGCGTGCCTGAATATTTCAAGGACTCGAAATAAAAAGGCTAAAACTGCTCTAGATTAAAGTGACTGGAGAGACAGGACAAATAAACACATCATGCCGTCTTCCATGAAGCCATGAAGTAATGACTGATCAAAGAACACATCAGCAGCTAATTTGCTTCATCAGCAGATTAAAGGAATAAGTCACACAATCTCATCCCAATAAGGGCAGAAAAAGCATTCAGTAAAATTCAACATTCACTCATGATTTTAGAAAAGCTTTTGGCAAATTGGGAATAAGTTAGAATTTTCTTAGTCTCACTATTAAAAAAAAAAAAACACCTCTGTAGTAAACACCATCCTTGGCAATCAAAACTTGAAACACTTTCCTTTCGATCTTGGGACTAAGGTAAAGATTCGTCCAGCCAGGTCTGTGAAAATTGCAGTACAAACACCAGGTAGCCATCAGATGAGCAAATGTAGATTGGAAAGGAAGCAATAATGCTGCCACTATTGTTAGAACTGTGCATACACAGAAAATCCAAAGACTTCGGGTAAGTTACTAGCATTTGTAAGAGTTCAGCTGGATTTAAAGTCAACACATAGAGATCAATTTTATTCCTATAAACCAATGAACATTTTCTAATTTTAGAATCCACTCGCTATACAACAAAAATGTCATAACTAGAAATAGATTCAATAAAAATGTGTATGAGACCTCAAAGAAAACTCAGAGATCTCAAAAAAGACCCAAGTTCATGGTCATGGTTTGGAAGACTCATCATTGCAAAGATGTCCCATCCCCCCACTTGAGTGATAGAATTTAAAGCAACCTCTATTGAAATAATGACATATTTTCTTCAGTGTAAATTAACAAGCTAATAGTAAAATTTGTGAGGAATTTCCAAGTCCAGGTGCCTTTTTTTTTTTTTTTTTTTTTTTTTTTTTTGACAGGCAGAGTGGACAGTGAGAGAGAGAGACAGAGAGAAAGGTCTTCCTTTTCCATTGGTTCACCCCACAATGGCCACTGCAGCCGGCAAACCACGCATATCCAAAGACAGGAGCCAGGTGTTTCTCCTGGTCTCCCATGGGGTGCAGGGCCCAAGCACTTGGGCCATCCTCCACTGCACTCCCTGGCCACAGCAGAGAGCTGGACTGGAAGAGGAGCAACCGGGACAGAATCCGGCGCCCCGACCAGGACTAGAACCCAGTGTGCCAGCGCCACAGGCAGAAGATTAGCCTATTGAACCGCGGCATCAGCCTCAGATGCTTCTTAAGAAAGCCGCCTGTACAGCTATAGGATGAAGACAACGTGTTATTCGCACAGTTAGTCTTATGGAGAGTAGAACCAAAGTGGGTTCTCTGGGGAAGACCATCCATGGATCCTCAGCACATGGGCAGAAGTGGGTCTTCAGAGCCATGGGGAAACAGTTGACTTTTCAAAAAAAATGGTGCTGAGCTCACTGGATATCTGCATACTACATGTAATTGGGTCCTGTCCTACACTAGTCACTCAACTCAATCAGAGACGACTGGGATTGACCAAAATGACAAAGCTTGGAGAAGGAAGTGCAGGTCTCTTCATGACCCCAGGGTTGGAGGGGGGTTCTTAAACAAGGCACAAAGGACACAAGTCCTAAAGGAAAAGTGGAGGAACAGAGAACCCAGGTGCCCCCAGATCCATGGGGATATATCTCAAGACCCTCAGTGCATGCCCGACACCATGGCTAGTGCCAAACATTTCATATATGGTGTCCTGTTTCCTCCTCTACCTAAATACCTCTGGTAAAGTTTAGTTCACAAATTCGGAACAGTAAGAGATCAATACTAACTGATAAAATGCAAGTCACAAAGATATACTGCAATAAAAGTTATTAAAACTTATAAATTATTTGTTTCTAGACTTTTCCATGTAGTAATTTTGGACCTTGATCGATTGTGGATAACTGAAACCTCGGAAAAGGGAGCGGTAGATAAGGGGACTCCTGTACAGAGATGGACAGTGGCCAGCCTGCATATGCTGAACTGTGATGCACCGTCTGCAGCGCCCAGCACAGGAAGCCCTACAAGTGCTGTGGCACTCAGCCCAGCCTGGTCAGGAACAGGTTAATCGCATCTTCTCTATTTTATGCCCCTGAGTTGAAAAACTCAGCAGCAACCTGAGAAAGCCAACTATGCTCCCCAAATGAATCACTGAAGATGCCCCAGCCACCCCATGCCAAAAACCTCCAATCTGAGCAGACCCCAAACCTTCCTTTTGTCCTTACAAAGCCTCCCTCTCCCCTGGCTGCCTTTGAGGCTCTGCTCACAGGTTACAGCTCGCCGTCGCCAGCTCTGAACACACAGTCTCCGTTCGTCCTCATCTGGGGGGCTTTCACTTAGGGGGAGTCTTCAAAAAGCTCACGGAATACGAATATTCCAGAAAAAGCATGCCTGATTTCAAATTGTTTTGCCCCAAAATAAACTCACCTTTTAATTCTCTTTTCCATTCCTTTTTGAAATATCCCATATTTCCATGAAATTAAGAATTTTGTTCATCAAAAGTCTCCATAAAGACGAGCTTTGGAGTGAGGAAAGTTATTTGCCATGCATACAAGGAGACGCCAGAAAGCTCATGAAAGAGCAACATAAAAGACAGGCTTATTTTAGCACTAAAAAACCAACCAACCAACCAACCAGATGTGGAAAGTCATGAAGAGAGATCGTCCACACGTTCCTGAAAAATGTGCATTATGAAAAAGCTATGCAGAGCATATACGGGCAACTCCTAAAAGCCAACGGGGAAAAACAAGCGCTTCACAAAACAGAATCTGAGCGATCAGAGTCACGAAAACAACTCGGCCTTATTAGTAATCAGGAAAATGCAGCTGCCCTGTGTGGCAGGCGTAGCAGGTGTTGTCCAGTGCCCGCCATGGCTCAGCGGGTGATTGGCCCCAGGTGAGCACAGGCAGGGCTCAGCCCACCCCTCATTTCCCTGGGGAGACTCCAGGGTCAGTACCTGTGGGCCCCAGGCCCAAGCCCCCAAGCATCTGGAGTCTGCCTTCAGCTCTCGGTCTAAAAGGTCCTGCTTTCCTAAACAAGGGCAGAACGGGGGTGAGGGGACCTGGGGCAGGGAGGGGCTGAGGCAGAGGCCCATCATGGCCACGGTCATCAGCACCAGGGGACTGCAAAGCTGGCGCTGGAAGCCCACTCAGCCCATGCGGCTCAGCAAACAATATGCGGTCCGTGCAGATCCATCAATCTGCCTCCCTCTGTCCTCGCAGCAAAAATCCCAAAACCCATAAATAGTCATAGCGACGGCCAGATGTGCTTAGCCGGAGTAGTATTTCCATCTGAAGGATGAGAAAACTCAGGGTCCAGAGAGGCAGACAGACTTGCCCAAGGCCACAGAGCACAAAGACCGGAATCCAGCTTTGGTGACTCTACACCATGGCTTTCCTCCCCACCGAGGTGCTGCTGCCTGAGGCCACCTTTCCCCTCTCCCAAGAGCGGCCTCAGCCCTCAGCCAGGCTGTGGGCATTTTCTGCTGTCCAGCAGGAGGCAGACCAGCCCTCCCGTGTCTGAGCTGCACCTTCTGGGCTCCATCTCACCAAAAGGACACCTTCTTCTCCCGAGCACCTGGCCCCCGCAACACAGGCAGAGCCAGCGGTCGTCCTCCAAGCAGAGGCCACACTTACCTCGCCCCAGGAGCGGCAGCAGCCCCAGGAGGAAGACGCTCGGCCACAGAGCCATGCCTGGACGCTGCAGGTGCCTCGGGACAACCTCCTGCGCAGACGACGGGCGAGCACGCTTTCTCCTGCTTTTATGCGCCTCTGGGCTGATAGCGTACTTGTCATAAATCTTGCTGTGTTCACCTTTGAAAGGGGGCAGTGGCTGGCTGTAAATGATAAATATTAACATTTAGGCAGAAGAGTTCTTAAGGCAGATGGGTCAACGATGGACAGCATGGCCCGGTCACAGACTCTGGAACGCCAGGACCACACACGGCTGCCTTCTCACAGTCTTCCATGGCGGTGGCGCCTGGAGACTCCAGCTTTCTGGGCAGAGCGCAGGCCTGGGAATCCCAGGTGTGGGGCTCAAATTGCAAACCCACGACAGCTGTGGGAACTTGGGCGCATCCCATCACTCAGCCTCAGCTTTCTCTGCTGGGGGCCAGGAGATTTAAAAACAAAAAAATAGGAAGAAAAGATATTTTGTAATAACTTTAAGCTATGAAGCCACCTCCCCAATGGGGTTCTCTTCTTAGCCTGAAAGACGTCCCCCACCATGTCTCAGGAGCACCAAAGGGGTCCCTGGTGGGCCTGATGCAGACAGGGTTGCTTCTGTCCCCCACCCCCCCTCCAAGCCCATGGTGGCCACAGGTGGGGCTGACGTGCCCACTGCACGTTTTTGATCTTCGTGTCAAATTGAGAGGTGGAAGGCAGAGAGGTGAGCTGGGGAACCAAATGTCTTGGGCAGGATCAGCAATTTCTTTTGAGCAAATGAAGTTGGCAATGCTGGACAAGGCCTCAGCAGGGCAGACAGAGCTGGGATTTAAAATCCAAGTGACAAAATACCCTTGAGGGTAACATTTACATTTTTCTTTCCAATATCAAAAAGCAATTGCTTTGGTTAATACATGCGTACTTCAAAAAGTTCGTGGAAAATGAAATTAAGTTTATTTTGGTGCCACAAAAATTTGAAATCTGCATACATGAGGGGTCTTTAAAAAGTCCATGTAATGGGGGCCAGCACTGTAGCACAACGGGTTAAGCCACCACCTCCAGTGCCGGCATCCCATATGGACAAAATCCTGGCTATTCCTCTTGCAATCCAGCTCCCTGCTAATGTGCTTGGGACAGCAGCAGAGAATGGCCCAAGTGCTTGGGCTCCTGCACCCACGTGGGAGATGGGAAGAAGCTCCTGGCTCCTGGCTTTGGGTTGTTGCAGCCCTAGCCATTGCTGCCATTTGGGGAATGACCCAGCAGAAGGAAGATCTCTTTCTCTTTCACTCTGCTTTTCTAATAAATAAATAAATCTATTTTTTAAAAAAAAGTTCATGTAAGTATATATTATTTTAAAAAAACTGTTTGAATTTCAAATTTTTTGTACCAAAACAAACTCATCTTTCAGTTCCACTTCCATGAGCTTTTAGAAATAGCCTCATTTGGACAAATAAATATATTTAAATGGTCCTAGAATTTGGCCACCCTTTGGACAGCAGAGCCAAGAGTCTGGAGCTCATTTTCACTATCCAGCCTCAGCTCTTGCTCTCCTGGCTGATATGAACATTTTTCTCATATTTTTAACATCACATGGAACCAATATTGTGGCATAGCAGGTCAAGCTATTGCTTGTGATGTGGACATCCCATATTGAGTCCCAACAGCTTCCTGCTAATGAGCCTAGGGGGGCAGAAAAGATGGCCCCAAGTGCTTGGGCCCCGGCCACCCTTGTGGGAGACAAGGATGGAGCTCCTGGCTCCTGGCCTTGGCCTGACCCAGCCCTGGCTGTTGCGGCCATGTGGGGACTGAACCGGTGAATGGCTCATGCTCTTGTTCTTTCTCTCTCTCTTTCTCCATCTCACTCTGCTTTCAAATAAATGAATAAGTCCTTTTTAAAAAAATAAAATAAAATCATAGCTATAGCTTTGCAATCTTGAGTCTAATCTTGAAGACTAAATAGGCTTCCCTTTGTTCCTGGCTCCCTGATTTTGGGGTGTGCCTTCTTTCTCAAAGGCTCAGAAAAATGTGACATGTGGATGACCCCGAGTTAGCAATGCCAAAGGCTTAGCTCAGCACCAGGACTGCACAGGGGCCTTAGGGCACACCTGAAGTGTACAGGCACTGACACACTCACCTCGCCACTGGCCAGAAGAGAGAGGACACACAGCCAAGGAAGGAGACGATATGCCCAAGGCCACGGTCTACAGAGCTGTTTGAGCACAGATGCCCCTGAACATTCATCATCCTCACTGAGCTTCCCCCAAGTTCAATGAGGACCCCAAGGTGCGGGTCCACCGCTGAGGACAGCAGGAGGCCACTGCCCTGCTCTGTGCTCTCGGCATTGTGAAACCTGGTCTCTGCCATGCTCAGCCCAGCTGGAGGTGAGGCATGAGGGTGGCCTGGGTCTACTCTCCAGGTATTCACTCCCACCCTTGTGTCTCTGTACAACCACCATGGCCCAGCTGGGCTGGCCCACACATCCTCCTCGGATGGCTTTTACAGTTAGAAACATTGATAAATGACTTTAGAAATCTCCAATCTCAGGGAGGAATTTGGGTACAGGACAGAATTTCCTCGTAGACTGGAGACGAGTGAGCCCCATCCATGCATCGCGGACTCCTTACAGCTACGAGGCGGAGGGGTCGCAACATTTCCTGGGCACTCGTTCCAAGCACTGTGGTGCCCTCTTCACATGTGTTGGCTTGGCTGGCACCTGCTCTCTGGGCACTGTCTGAACAGCTGTGAAAACAAGGTGGGGGGGGGGTGCTCAGCATCTAAAGACCGAGCAAGCTCCACCGCCCGCTTGTAAACTTTGCTGTCCACTCGTGCGGACGGGACGTGTCTTGGAGGAGGAGGATGCTCCACTTCAGATTTTAGCGACAGTCGGCAGCTGTTCCTTTTGGGACAGGCACAGGCCCATATGTCATATCTGTTAGAGATGATAGCGACACCTTGCTCAAAAAGCTCGGCGACTGAAAAAGCTGAGCATTTGCAACTGTTCAAGAATCCACAAGGGGGTGCTAGACCAAGCCTCGGGCCCAGGGTCCATGCGCACTAAAGCATTCTGGCCTAGCCCTCTGTAAGACCAGGGCATTTACGTACAAGGTGTCCTTCAATGCTTGCTAGTATGGCCAAAATAGGGATTTATTTTGGTCACTCTCACTGGCATGGAATAACCACTCCTTTTCTAGGGTTAGCTACTTCCTTTACTTCTCAAATTCTTTGAACACCTTATAAAAAATGACTAACATGGAGGACCATTGCAATGAAAAAGAGAAAAGGAACTGCTTCTCAATCCCTTTCCCAGTACTTACAACCTTCATTTCTTAATTTCTGGCCTTAATTTCTGGGCTGTAGTGTCGCCCCTGTGGATCTTAAAACTCTTTGCTACCTCCCCGTCGCAGTAATCCAACTGTGACTGACAGCAGCTGCCTTCTTTGGGCCACTGATCAAACTCATACGTAACTAATCCCGCCCAACCTGGGGAGACCAGGCCAGGTCTGCATGGAGCTGGTGAGCTGAGTTTAGCTTTTGTGTGTACACATCAATGATGTGTAACTTCTGCGATATTTATTCTAAATGCATGAAGAAATCCAAGTAAAACTTCCTGAAACAAACAAACAAAATGTATTCAGAAAGTGAGATCATAATTCATTATTATTACATGAACTTATTTGGTAAATAATCAGCCCATTTAAAATGAAATCGAATATAAAATAATTAAAAGCATTGCATATAGTAATGGTAAGTATTGTACTGGGGAAACATGTTTCCATATGTGTAGTGATGTAACTAACATGTGTTTCCTAATGTGAGTCAGAGTTAGTGAAAATTGAGGGACAGATATTTGGTGCCAGGGATAAGATGCAACGTGGGACATCTGCATCCCATATCAGAGTACCTGAGTTTGAGTCCTGGCTCTACTTCCGATTCCAGCTTCCTGCTAATGCACACCCTGGGAGGCATTCCTGTGGGGGAGCCTGGGCCTTTCTCTTCCTGCCATCTCGCTGCCCTCAAACTGCTCCCCCTGGAGCAACGGTCCCCGGGCAGCACCCGCTCAGGGAATCTCCTCGCATGGGCTGAGTGTCCCCCAGGGGCACGGAGGCAAGCTGCACTCATCAGGCCTGTGCATTCCATGGCCCGTCCCAGCCACAGCAAAGAGGCTGGCATTGGGCCCTGCTGACCTGGTATGTCATGCAGGTCAGCCAGGCCAGCCAGCTGCCAGCTGCAGCGCACCCCTAGGTTTCCAACACCAGACCTAGATGCACCGGGAGGCAAATGATGCTCAGTGCAGGTAACTGGGCTGACTTAGCTCCCAGGGGCAGAGGCTTTGTTTAAAATCAGGACACCGAAGACACAAAGAACTTAATTAAAGAGTGAAGAAGGAAAAGAGAAAGTGGAGACGAAATCCATTTCTTGGCGGGGGGGTGGTGGTGGTGGTGGTGGTGGTGGCATAAAAACACTTTTCAAACGTCACCATCTTCTTAATGAAAGAGAAAGGCGGACAGGTGCACCCTGGCAGAACATGCACCCCATGCAGAGGGTCTGGCCTGCTGTGTCCTGGGCGAGGGCCCCAACAGTGGGCCCGCACAGGCAGAGCTGGCAGCTCTTACGCGTCAGCCAAAGGAAGAAGTGGACGAGAGTCAGAATGAGAGAGACCAAGACTACTGCAAAGAGATCAGCTCGACGGAAGAGGGTAGTAAAGACCAGAGGGACACAAGCCGTGCCTGAGGACAGAGGACCGAGGCAAGCCCCCGGGCCCTGAAGCATGATGGGAGAAGTGACTTTGAAGTTCAGGGCTCACGGCTCTTGCCCACTGTCGCACTGTTGTTCTCTGCTGAACTGCTTCTCAACCCGGACTGCAAGGGCTTTATTCTGATACCTGGAGACGCCCAAGCGCCAGGCGCCAGGCTGTACAGGCTGAAGTCCCAGGTGTGCCCTGACACCACCACTCCCCACCTGCAGTCGGCTCCTCTTGCCCATGTCTGCTCTCCTCCAGTTCTCCAACATGCAGAGAGCACCACGAGCAGGGGGGAGGGGTGAGAGGAGCCCCCCCACACACTAGTGCCAGCCACTGGCTCAGAGCAGGGCACCTCGCTGGCTGATCACCCTTTACAGAGGCAGGGGCGGAAGGCCCCCACAGCACGAGCCCTGCCTTCTCGCACGGCCCCTCTGCCTGGGGGCGCTTCCTCTCTCCTGTCCCCACTTCTCCAGATTCTGAGGGCCCTTCAGACACCCCGGGAGCCCTGCTGGGGCTGGCTGTGAGTTTTACTAGAGCTGTGCTTTCCAACCTGTCTTCCTGGCAGAACGCGAAGGTGGGGAGAACTGCACAACCCGGGGCGGGGCCACGCAGGGAAGGCTTACCTGAGATGCTCAGCTGGAGGCTTTGCAGAACCCCAAGTGCCCCCTGGTGGCCCTGAAAGTACCCCAGGGGTGCACCTTCATCCAGGTTCAGATTCAAATTGCATCAATTGGGCACCTGCTAGGTGGCAGGAATCTTGTGTATTCGTATTTATTTACTACATTCCGCATGCAGTTAAAAGTCTCCATAAGGTCACCCAACTGGTAAGCTTAAACGAGGCTCTAGCTTCACATCCACTCGCTTCTCCCCAACATGACTTGGAGCTGTGCCTGGTGAGATGGCTTTAACCTGCCCTTCAGGAGGGAAACCCAGGGGTGCACTTGACTCTGAGCTGGTGGGGGGCAGCCCTCGGCTGTGGGGGGGGGGATCCTGGCAGGGGGACCTCCCCCTGGATGCTGAGTCTGAGTGGGCCATTTAGCCCCGACAACACACAGCCCTGGCACTGGGGCACTCACACAGCTGGGAAGGAGGCACCACTTCTCCTGCTGGAATCCCGAGAAACCACTTCCTCATTACTGTCTCACGAGGACCAGAGAACCAAACACGATCCTCTGATGCACGACAGCTGGAGAGGTGCTCAACTCCGTCCCCCTTCCCTCTTCTTGGGGAGAGTCCCAGAAACCCAGCACCAGGAGAGCAGCAGAGGGGCTGGCGCTGTGGCGCAGTGGGTTCAGCCACCGTCTACAATGCTGGCATCCCCTGTGGGCGCCGGTTCACATCCCAGCTGCTCCACTTCCAATCCAGCTCCCTGCTAATGCACCTGGGAAAGCAGCGGAAGATGGCCCAAGTGCTTGGGCCCCTGCCACCCACGGGAGACCTGGCCTTTCCTCATGGGAGACCAGGAAGCTCCTGGCCTCTGGCTTCAGCCTGGCCCAGTCCTGGCTGTTGTGGCAATTTGAGGAGTGGACCCATGGATGGAAGACCTCTTTCTCCTTCTCTCTCTGTAACTCTGACTTTCAAATTCATAAAATAAAATTTTTTAAAGCAACAGAGACTAGATCAGAACTGCTCAGAGAGCACCTGGACCTGAGCAGTCACCTGATCCATCCCCCTGCCCCCTGCCCCCGCCCCCACTGTACGGGGTGGGGGAGGGGAATGGAGGCCAAGAACAAGGCAGGGCTGGTCTGTGACTCAGGGCCTGACCTGCTTTTGAACTCCCTTCCTCAAGTCCAGTGTCTTTTCCAGCTGACCACGCAGGGCCAAGTCACCATGGCCACTTGTGGCGATGGAATGTTTCAGTCATTTTATAGAGAAGAAACTTAAAACTCAGAGAGGATTAGTGACTTACCCAAGGTTGCCTAGCTGCTCAGGGCAGAACTCTTGCATCACCACAACCTGAGAACTGGAGATGAGCGCGGGCTCTGGGCTAGCAGAGAGCACCCACCCCATCTCCATCCCTGGGAGCCGGGCTGGTGCGGCTCGGGGAAGCTCCTCCCTGGAACTGCCCAGGCTGGGGAGGGCCCTGGGGCAGCAGGGATGAGACTCGAGTGCTCAGCCACCAGGCAGCCCTGCAGGAGCTGTGCTTGGCAGCCCATCGTCCCACACTCATCTCTAGTCTGGGGGCTAGGGCCCATCTTTCTGATCCAGCAGGCATAACCAAAGACCCCAGAATGCACTGGGAGGCTCTTGGCTCCCATAGCCCCAAGCACCCTGCCCTGATGCCGGCCTCCCTGGCCTCCTTGCACAGCCGAGCACCTGTCCAAGAAAGCACCTGCCCGGGATAGGCAGAGAAGCTCGCTGGCCCTGGCTGGGGCAGCTTACCCACCGGGACGTCCCTCCGCCTGCAGTGCACGGCTGCTTCCGAGCGTGGCCTCTGGGCCTTTGGCTGTAGGGTAAGTGATTTGTGTTGTATGATGTCATCAGTGTGGTACCAGGGCTGAGCTGCCAACGCCACGGGCGCCGTGGGTGTTAATAACCTTAGCGATGAGATGCGAGCTTGTTTGTGCAGCCAGCTCCCTTGCAGGCCCACTGTTTACCTTTGATGGCACAGAGAGTGGGCGGGGAGAGGGTGAGGTGAGACTGGCCTCCTGTCCCCAGGGCCTTGATGTACAGCAGCCCTGGGACCTGGCCAGGCAGACACAGAGCTGCAGCCACTGGGACATCCCTGCTGGAATGGACACAGCACTGAGCACCTGGCGGCCCCCGGTCCCATTTCTCAGCGAGCGACAGCCACGCCCTCTGCCTCCAGGCCCTGCCGCTGACACCACCCCTTTCTTGTTCACAGACTCGGGAAGGGCCCATTCGCAAGGGGAAGCTTAGCCCCAGAGGAAGTCTGCAGTTTCCTGCTAGAATGTTTCTGAAAAGCCAAGAAATGCTGCAGCCAGATTGCCAATCCTGGCTTCTCTGCCCCAAGGGCCAGGTCTCTTAGCATTACCCCCAGTGCTTCCTCCCTGTGATCACTTGGGTTGACTCCTTAATCAACGCTCGGGGCCTAGGAACACACAGACGGTACTGCATCTGCAGCAACCCTGGGAGCCTCCTAACCCCGCTCGCTGCCTTCTGGGCTTCTGGGACGCAGCCGCCCTCGGCCATCTCCAGTAGGTTCCCCGTGGACACTGAGATCCGGGCTTGCTCGGGATGCTCCAGCCCGGGTGTGTTAATGCCCCATGCCTGGCTTTACTGCCCCATGCCTGGCTTTACTGCCCCACGCCTGGCTTTCCATAACTGCTCTCCCTTGGGCTCTCTCCCCCAACCCCCTACCTTTCACTCGCTTGTCCCTGTCCTCAGTGTGCCTCCCCCTTCCACCACGCCACCAGAATGGCTCTAAGATCCACAGCGTGTCCAACCCTCAGCCCTCGTCTTAGCCGACGTCTCAGCAGCAATCCAGCACTGGCCTCTCCCCCGCCCCTGGCCCCCATGCCTCCGGCTTCCCGGTTTTTTCTCGCTGGCTGCTCCATCTCAGCCTCCTGCACCAGCTCCTCCTAGGCTGCTAGAATTTCTCACGGACTCTGGCCTGGCTCCTCCCCTCTATGCCCATCTCTCAAGGCGCTGGCACACAGCCCACGGCTTCATTAACAATCTGTGCGTCCACCCCAACCCCCAACCCCAAACCCCCACTTCTGCTTCCAGCCCAACCTCTGCTCGGAGTTGCACCCCCCATAAACTCATTCACTGACTCAGCATCTCCACTTTGATGCTTCACGGGCACCGCAGACTCAAGCAGTAGAGACGCCTTCCTTCACGCCTTTGGGTCCCTTTAAGGAAACTGCACGGCAGGTGCAGCCAAGGGCAGGAATGATCTTTGCCAGTTCCCTGTGAGGGTTTCCCAGTGCCATTTGGACAGAGCCCACTGGCTCAGGAGGGCTCACACAGCCTGGTGCCCGCCTCTGCCGCCCCAGGCCTCGCTCTCCCCATCTCCTCCTGCCCCAGGCTTGCTGGAGCTCCCTCTCGCCCCTGCATATAGCGTCCGCTCTGGCCTCTCAGAGCCTTAGCACATGCTGATCCCTCTGCCTGGAACCCTCAGCACACACCGGTTCCCTCCCCACCCCTGGGTCTCCCGAATTCCCCCGGAGGCCCCAGTTCAAGTACTTCTTCCTATAATCGGCCTCTGGGTCCGGTCAAGGAAAGGCTCCCTGTCTCATCGCACCCTCCAAGACCCCCCTCTGACCCTCGGCACACTCGTTCTTGCCTCTTCAAGCTCTGTCCCATTGGCCTCTGAGCTCCGGGAAAGGAAGGACCGTGTTGTTCCCTGCTGGGTCCCCAGCACCTAGCGCAGAGCACGGCCCCAGCAAGGGCTCCCTAACTGCTGCGTCCGTGAGTAAAATCCACACATGCTCCAGGCACTCCAGGGTGTGGGAAACAGGATGTCTGCCTCCCTCCTGCTCTCGCTGCCAGTTTGCTTAGCTCCATTGCATTTTGTTTGCCTCATCAGGGAGCCAAAGATGGCTAACGAGGGCCAAACACTTCTCTGGAAAGGCTGGAGCCCACATTTCATTCATCTTTGCAGCTCCCTGTGCTGTCCCTGACACAGCGGCTCTGCACACAGTAGGGAGCCATGCCCCAGGGACTAAGAGCAGCACCTTGCTATGCAAGGGAAGAGACCCCTCTTGGCTCCTGCCTGGCCCAAACAGCACCCTACCACCCCCAGCGTTAGGGAGTCTCCTGGAGGCTGGTGCCGTGGCACCGCAGGTTAAGCCACCGGAGACGTCAGCATCCTATATGAGCACCGGTTCCGGTTCCGGTCCCAGCTGCTCCACTTCCTACCTAGCTCCTTGCTGATACACATGGGGAAGTAGCAGAAGATGGCCCAAGTGCGTGTGCCCCGGCACCCATACGGAGTACCAGACGGAGTCCAGTTCCAGTCTGTACCAGCCCAGCCATTGAGCCATGTAGGGAGTGAACTAACAGAAGGAAGATCTCTCTCTCTCTCTCTCTCTCTCTCTCTCTCTCTCTCTCTCTCTTCCCTTTTCCCTCCCTTTCTCTAACTCTGACTTTCAAACAAATAAATTTTTAAAAGCAATAAATGCACCTTTTCTTTAGGAAAATAAAACATTCTTCAGGAAAACCGGAAGACTTCCCCAGTCGTGTAAAATACAGATGCCGAGCCAATCAGGAAAGCTAACTGTTCTCGAAGGTCAGCAAGCACCCCCCACCGCCCCAGCTCCCGCCCTCGTCCTGGGTGTGCCAGCCAGAGCCGGTTCAGGTTTTCTCCTTTTCTTCCTCTGTCCTCAGACAGCTCTGAATCCCTGCAGGTGGTTCCCTGGGAGCCACGGTGTATAAATAAACAGCTCTTGCTAATTTTGTCCTGGGCTTGGTTCTTTTTTTGACTATAACCTTGGTGCTCTGACTCAAATCTGGCCTGGCCTGCTTGTCACTTACGGACCCTGGCTCTTGACCAGGTGTAGAGGTCCCAGAGCCCTTGAGCCTCTCTGCTCGTGGAACACCTGCCCATGTCAACAAGCAATTCTGTGTGGGGCCCCAACCCCCACTCTCTTGGCACTGAGTCCTTGGCTATTTTATTTACCTGTTAAATCTGGGTATTTCTATTCGGTTCTTCTAAATCTTGGTATCTCTGTGTCCTGGGTGATTTGCTTCCACCTGTCCTTCCTTCTGCCCTGTGTCCTTAAGTGTTATTTTGCCACGAGGAGAAGGATCATGGAGCAGCACACAGGCATGACCCTGGAAGTCGACTGCCTGCGTGGGCCAGGGGACTGGAGAGCTGTCAGCTCTCTCTCGGCCAGCACCCCCTGAGGACAAGCTTTGCTGGGGGTCGCCCACCAAACCAGACAGGCTCGGCCCCTCCTCCTGGCACTTCGTCCTGACAGCAAGGTTTTGATCTGGAGGCACTGTTCTGTCTGACATAGTCCACCTGCTGGGGACTCTGCTGGCTGGGTCTGTGCTGGGAGGCAGCTGACCACCATTAGCTCAGGAGCCCAGGACACAAAGCTGCACGAGCACCTTCAACTGGCAGTAGCGGGCGCTTTCCCAGCGTAGCCTTCTCCCTGCGTCCTGCAGGCAGTCACATTCCCACTGGAACTCACCTCTCCCTAAAAGGCAGGGTTTCCCTGGAACTACCCTTGGAACACAAACAGAAGAAAATTCTTTGGGCCCAGCGAGCAACATTTTTTTTGGGTGGGTACACTAACAATTCTAAATGCAAACCTAATTCTAAAATTGCTTCTTTAAAGAATTGCTCAGTCAAGGCGGACAAAGAATTTGAAGAGTTGAAGTGTAAAGCTGTCTCTGATAAAAACTTTTCCCCCTGTTAAGTCTGCACCCACCAGGGCCCTTCCTCTTAGTACATCCTGCTCCTCCACGAGAATCTGATCCCAACCCCTCTGTCTCCCACCTGTTCTCTGCCTGTCTGGATCCCTCACCTTTCCATAAGATACTCCAAAATATCAACTTCCTTTACAACGACTCCGTGTTCAACAGCCCTGAACAGACACAACACTCGTATAAAGAAGAACAAAGCCAGAGAACTCGAACTTCCTTATTTCAAAACTTCCTACAAAGCTAAAGTAGTCAAAACAGTGTGGCACTGGTATAAAGTCAGACCTATAGGCCAGTGGACTAGAATAGAGAGCCCAGAAACAAACCCTCACATATATGGTCAAATGGTTTTCAACAAGGGTATCAGGACCGTTCCATTAAATGGGGGGAAAGATAGGCTTTTTGGCAACAGTGCTGAGAATCTGGAAATCCACATGTAAAAGAATGGTGGGGGACCTTACCTAACACCACTGACAAACATGAACTGAAATCAGTCCAAAGCCCGAATGTAAGACCAAAAACTTACAGTTTTAGAAGAAAGAACGTGGTAAAAGCTTTATGACATTAGATCTGGCTGTGAATTCTTGGCTATGACACCCAAGGCATAGCCAACAAGGGAAAATAGACAAATTGGATTGTTGTCATTTAAACATGATGAACTCCAAAGTCTGGGTTGATGGATTAAGGATGGAAGCTGGGTCCAACTATGGTATCTGCAGTTGCGGACCTGGGAAGCCATTGGGTTGGATTAGGTTGTCGGGTACAGCCCCATGACCATGGCTTTATAAGAGACCACACAGATGCAGAAGAACAAGTGTGCTCCCTGCCTCTTCTTTCCTGGCCCAACATCTGATCCTCCCTCCCCAAATGTTTCACCATCCACTTCCGTCTTTAGACACCCAACTAATGGGGCTGTCTAATCTTAGACTGTGAACTGCCAAAACTGTAAGCCCAAATCA